TGTGTGTGTGTGTTGTGGTTCAGATAGATGAATAGATAAGTAGATACAGTATGTATGTAGGTAGATGGGGAGATAAGTAGGTAGGTGGACTGTGTGTGTGTGTGTGTGTTGTGGTTCAGATAGATGAATAGATAAGTAGATACAGTATGTATGTAGGTAGATGGGGAGATAAGTAGGTAGGTGGACAGGTCAGGGAGTATGTATATMAAAAGGAATCATGGTACAAATATATAGATGGTAATTATGGTATATAGATGGATGGATAGAAAGATGGATGGAACAAAAACATGCCTGAAGTGTTTTAGTTTACATATTAAAAAGCAACATGGATAGTATTTTGTAAAATAATAAAACAACACTTTTAATCCAGGCAGGTCTTTGTCCTACATTTGTTTTATGTAAATTTAACAAATCACAAAAGGATGGTGAAGATGATGTTTTATTGTTGCTTCTGAGCAAGAAAGGTAGTCACAGAGCTGACATGGCGACCAGGTGTGAAGTGGAGAGCAGTGTTTGCAGCATTCCCCTCACTGCTGTCACTCTGCTGGTTGTGTTCTATTAACTCCCCCTTTAAAGTATGTTTATATTATGAAAGGTTTGAGCTTAGAAATCCACAACAAAACATTTTATACATAATTTTCTGTGTGCCTGTGATAGACAACATCAGATCTAATCAAAATCAATTTGACTATAATTCCACAATTACACCTTGAGGGAAGAGCAGATTAAAGCCTGTAGTCTTTGGGTGATTGAATTAGAACATGTTATTAAAAAGGATAATGAGTATGTGAAAGCAAACATTAGGTTTTGATTACTGCTCTCATTAAGAAGTAATATTTAGCAAAGTGAAAAACAGCTTATTAAATGTGCAAGCTTATCAGGCAAATAGTAAATTAACTAGCAAGCAACTCTCTAGATTGTGTTAGCCAATAAAAGAGCCCTTTTTCAGCCATTAATTAGGATGGAGATCTCTTCTGTCTGGACCTGTAAGTGAAAATCTGTAATTTGTGCATGTATGATGCAGTCAGTTCACTTTTTAATTACAGAATTGCAGAAAGAAAGTGTTGATTGGTAAATGAATAGCTTTATATTCGGTTCTCTGCTCGAAACCTTTCTGTGGATTTGTCATGTCTTTGTCAAACAATGGTAATTGCTGTGTTGGGCTCACAACAGATGTTGGGCGTGCACACAGCAGTTTTAAAGGGATTCCTCTTTGTAGTGGCATTTTTTTTTATTTAGCAATTTTGACCATGAAGTTCAATTGTCTTCCAACATGTAAATTTAGTATTTTGTGCTCCAGGCCCTGTCACACTACAGAGTTTTAGACAAATTAGGCCAACTTGTACATTTTATTGTCTAAATTACAGATAAAAGTTATATATCTGACCAATTTGTTAGCATTACAGTATGTACATACCTAAAAGAGGCTTCCAGTTGTTGTTTTTAATTCCATCTTCAACATAGATGTCCTAAATATTTTTCACAAGTTTGTATAAGTTGTCTAAAACATTATAGTGTGACATGGCCTTTACATTAAACATTAATTCTATTAATTTCAACTTCTAAAATTATAATCTGTCTATTCTGAGTAAACAAAATGATGTGTCTAAACAAAACCTACACACACAAAGGTAAATGCTGCAGCTTGTGGCGAGCCCAATGCTGCATTGTAAGCAAAGTGATTTGAGAGCCCTTATTCCCAGGCAGGTAATTTGATTCTGGGAGGTGGATGCTTGGTGGTTTTGGGGTCACACTCGAAGCTGGTCCCCACTCTAATAAAACTAGTGAGCAATGCAGGACCAGGAGGCTAAAAACACCCATTAACTTATTTCCCATCAACATGGGGACAGGTAACCTAATGACCCTGCAAAGCTGCTATGCCCCTTGATCATGTGACCCAGGAGCTGCAGAGCTGATGACTCGGCACCGGAAGGGAGACATCATTCAACTGGAGAAACTACTCAACCTAGACATGATGAAGTAACACAAARTAGAAAAATGGATTCCACTGAGACTAAAATAAAATCTAAATCAGGATGATTATTTTGTATAATGGAAAAAAATAATTTATTAAAATCTGGGATTCTGATTTTTTTTTAATCAAAAATGTTTCTTGTCTCTATCTTTCTCTGCTTTTTCATTAGTGGGATGCCATCACTGAGATGGATGAGCACAATCGACCCATCCACACGTTCCAGGTCTGCAACGTGATGGAACCCAACCAGAACAACTGGCTTCGCTCCAACTGGATTCCCCGACAGGCGGCCCAAAAGATCTACGTAGAGCTCCGCTTCACCTTGCGTGACTGCAACTCCATCCCTTGGGTTTCTGGGACCTGCAAGGAGACCTTCAACCTTTTCTACCACGAGACCGATGAGGCTCACGGTGTCAAGTTCAAACCTGTGCAGTACACCAAGATCGATACCATYGCCGCCGATGAGAGCTTCACTCAGATGGATCTCGGAGATCGCATTCTTAAGCTCAACACAGAAGTGCGCGAGGTGGGACCCATGACCAGGAAAGGCTTTTATTTAGCGTTCCAGGACATCGGYGCCTGCATCGCGTTGGTCTCAGTGAGGGTTTACTATAAGAAATGTCCGTTCACGCTGAGGAACCTGGCCTCTTTTCCAGATACAGTTCCTCGGGTGGACTCTTCCTCGTTGGTGGAAGTGAGAGGGGCGTGTATTGATCATGCCGAAGAAAGGGACACTCCTAAACTGTTCTGTGGAGCAGATGGAGACTGGTTAGTTCCTTTGGGAAGATGTGTCTGCAGCGTCGGCTATGAGGAGACGGACGGCTCATGTGTTGGTGAGTTATTTTTGGATTATAATATTAAGCTTTTCAAAGCCCTCTTCTCGGAAGCATTTGTCAACATATGGATTCAAATGCACAACTGTTAGTTACTTATTTCCAACTTTTTAAACATCATAGCTCATTTCTGATCTTTTTTTTTACATATTAGCCAAACTGTAAAACTATATTAATCATAATTATTTGTCTGCTGGATGTATAAACTCTTATCATGTTGATGAGAGTTTGATTTTTTGTGGCTGTGGCAGATGCTRTCATGGTGTTCTGTGTTTTATACCTAAAAGCTCAAGCTCATTTATGGTATAGGCTCATCTGCAGAAGATGTGCCTGGCAGGTGCTGATATAATTTAATTGTTTTTCTCTCTCAACAARAAGTGCAAAAAACATTAAAGCCTCTTCTCAGTGGATACCCACCCCCACTGCATGTGTTTCTCTTTTTATTTGTTTGCATCTTTTTGGGTAACTTACTGAAAATGAGTCATTTGAATTCAACAAAACACATGAACAGTTTGATTATATGAGCTGTGAAAATTCTCATTGTTTTATGTATAAATCAATGGTTTAATCAGATGGATGAGTTGCATGGATGGTTAAAAAAGCTGACAATTATTTTTTTGCAGAACAGTTTTTGATAAAGTTATGTATTTTACCACTGCAGATCGTTAAAGAAACAGTTGGAATTGTCACTTCCCACATTCTGGAGAGATCTTGGAGCCTCTCACTGACACTCTTATGAGCTCCTAAGATACCCAGAAAAGCAGTTTCCTTTATCAATTTCATTTTAAGTTTCATCCCTTATCTTCCCTCCTTGTTCCTACCCACTCTTATCACTTTCACTCTGCCATCATTRTTCCCAGCTGCTACTTCTCATGAGATTAGGTTGATCTAGAATGACAAGTTTTGTTTTGTTTTAGTTCCTTATCTTCATGTCAGAGTTTTTTTTACAGATGCAAAGGCTGTATGCCCAAGTGAGTATGTGTGCCTAAATGTTGTGAGCAAAATTGCTTTTGTCTTAATCAGAATTTGTTGTTAAATGTTGGAAGTTGTTGGAATAATTTTAAAAGCAGTATCAGTGTCCAGGCTTGTTTGTGATAACAGACAATGGAAAGAGCTGTWAACTTCCTGTTTAAAATGTTCCACATTGCTCAAAGACCATCCTTTATTCAGATATGAATCAGATGTAAGAACCTATCAGCGTTTGTGTGCATGTGGTAGATTTTCAGAACAGAATAAAACACTGTGTGTGGGTGGTGTATCTATGATGAGGCATGCATGTAGGTATGTTGTTGTTTTGAACATCGGTGGTCGACCACCAGCTGTCCCAGGGGGCCGCCTCAGTGTGAAAGATTACCTCAGCTGGCTTGGCGGCAGTTTGATCCTCCGCTCTCTGATATGAGCTCTGGGTTATCACTGGCAGCGCCACTCACAGGGAATGCCACTTTCAACAAGGTCCAATGCAACTTCTTTTCAAACCAAGTAAATGCCTGATGTCAGGTCAACAGATGCACATGTCTGTAATCTACAGTGGATCGATCTCCAAGCTGCAAGGTGCCCAATGCACTTACAGGGAGAGTCGCATCAGAAAGCTTTGAACCATGCTAGACTCGGAGCTCAAGCACAGCCTGTATGAATGAGATATCTAACATTTCATGATCAAACTTTGGGACATTTGTAAAAGGTAGCAGAAATATATAGTGGGCTAGATTTACCAGACCAGGTAAGATGTCAAATCAGAACTGATATATTTTTTTACCAATATTGATCAACATAACCACACAGTTTGCTTTGTGTTGTTTTTAAAATGGACATTCTGGAGCGTTTGTTGGATTTCTCCTCTCATCCAGAACCAGATGTCTTTGTGTAGTTGATTATAATTTGGCATGTTACACAGGTCAGCAAGGCCTCCAAGCTGCACCTGCAGCTGCACTGCAATCAAGAGGCCAAGGGGTGAAACTGCAGCTGTGATTGGAGTCMGGCTATTCCAAAATGATTCCTTCATTTCTGTCTGCTCCTTAATCATTTTTACTGTTGTTCTGGATTAATTTTAAATAGAAWAGTCTTTGAGAAAGGTTTAAATATTCTCATTTTTGGAGACTTAGAGAGAAGTAGATGGCAAAGGCTTTTTAAAAATCAATTTGAGATTGCTTTGTGGCTTGTTCTACAAGGAAACRACTTGCTGCACACCTGCTGTTTGCAACATGTCTTACAGATGGGTTATAGGACTGGATCATAAAAAAYGAAATGGAACATCTTAATGACAACATCTGGAGTAGTGTTTCCCAATTTTTCTTTTTTTCCCCTCGGTTTTCTACTTGTTTGACTTTTTTTCTGTACACACCCATCTTTTTCAAAAGAAACAAAATAATGACACCAGAAGAAAGGTGAACACTTTTTTGCCGTTTTCATTTACAGGTATTAGTAACCTATCTGCATCACTGTTAGTCACATCTACTGCAACTTCTCCTCGCCTGTCTCCATTTACCACCCTCTCAGTAGCAGATTTCACAGTTGACTTAGGTTTAGCCGTTTGGGCCATGTGTGATGACATTTTTTTCTGCAACGTCAGCCCTAAAAATGCAGCTCCTGTTCAGCGTTCCAGGATTCAAACAGGCTCAGTTATTAAAAGTCTCCACAAAAGATCACGAGAACACCTTGAAAGAAGGAGAATGCTGACATGACAGGCTTGGCTGATCCTTTAGGTTCCAGTTTACAAGAAACTGGTTGAGATAAAAATGGCCTGATAAGGCAGCAGAACGAAGTTTGTAAATGTTTTCTGAAATTTGATATTGATGATCGGAGCTTTAAGAGCAAAACGGTGTCCTCTGGCATCCTCAAGTCGACATACTCGTATTTACAGAATGATGCAATCGTTACAGTTGGTGCATTTTACATAATATCCCCAAAGTTCCTGGAAGTTAAAAACTGAAATATTATGCCTGGTAAATAATATTTCCTGATAATTTAAGGATTTATTAATTCCAAGATATTTAAAGATAATGATGAATATTTAAAGGATAAGGGATGATGACATGAGAGCTATATATAAATCTAGCTAAATTCTATAAAATTACAGTTTAAGAAGTAAATAAATTATTCACCATTTTTTTGTTCAAGTGAACCTAAAGTAGTTTACACGGAAAAACACACAAACATTGTGTAACGACTGAAAGAAGACCAATTTTTTTTCAACCTACCTAACAAAAAATAATCTAAAAGTCATAAATTATTTTTTTACCGTGGTACATTTTAATTTTCTTCTATCTGGRTGATTTTTGGAAAGTCTGTATGCTGCAGTAAATATGACTTTGATCAGTTTGTATAATTTTACTACTTGAAAAACTCGTTTTTTTCTCATGCAAAAACACATTAAGTTTTTTTTTTCTTATTCATCCATCATRCATCTGTATTAAAGTGATGTTCAYAGGTTGTCGCTGGTTTAAACACAGYACTCCACTCAGTTTGTTACTTAAATGAGACAGGCTGATTTATAAGAAGGCCAAAAGAAGACCAAATGGAGATTACTATATTTTTGTTTATTTATTTATAAACAAAATGTTTCATTTTATAAATGTGTACAAGCTTGTGACAGGAAAAATGTTCTTCACTGAACTGTTAATTGATTCAGGCTATTGTGATTATTTTTAAAAAATGGCAGTGACAAATTGTAATAGAAAAAATGAGATATGAACACATTGATCATCTATAAGTCAATTCTGTGGCTAGAATATTACGCAGTAAGTAGTTTTTCTCCTAGTTTTGACTGCATTTAATTGACATCATGTCAGTCCCATGTCATTTTAGTGTATATGAACAAATGCAAATATATACACAATTTATAAATTGCTTTTTAACTGACTTACAAATATTTCTCACATTTCATCACTCAGTGTGTCTCTGCATCTCCCTCCCAATCTTTCCATCTCTCTCAGTGTAAGACAATCTAGCTGATGCTGTTATCACTCAGTGTTTACAGCTGCTGTTCTGTGTTTGTCGGGCTCTGTGTAAGAGCTCTCAACAGCGCCATGAATAATGCAGCTGCTGTGTGTTTGCTTGAGTTTATTTATATGTGAACTCCTGCGAGTTTACGCTGAAGTTTATGTATCTCCCTTGTATTGGGCTGAAGCAAACCATCAGCAATCTATTTACATTTTTAAATTACGTTGTGGCAGAAGCTTAAGATGAATAGATAATTACACCTAATAATTAAAGGCTTAACATTCCTTAATAGAATGCATATCACAAATCAGCTTTAATGCCAGAGTTTCAGATAAAAATCATTGTAGGTTGAGAAATGAATGAGATGTAGCTGTTTTACACTGACCTTGTACAATCTCGTGATACTAAGTATTAGTCAAATATGTATAAGAGACTGAATTCCAGCCATTTTTGTTTTTTAAGGTCAGCTCGCTGTGACAACCACCTTAAATTGAATTGGCTTCAAAAGTTAATCAGTTGTACTTTAAAATGCATACAATGGCTTATAATTTGAACTCACTGATACCAAGTACTCACTGAGTTAGAATC